TATTGAACCAGCGCTCCATCATGTTTCATCTGAATAACTCAGTCACCAACCAGTCTCGCCCGCACCTCCCGCCGCTGGGAGCGCTCCAGCGCTTCCACCGAGCGCGGTGGTCGCTCCGGGTCCACCGTGGTCGCTCCGTCGGGCTTGGGAACCTTCTTGGGACTGGAGAGGGGGTCCAGTGGAGGCCGCACGCCTTGGATTTGGACGTTGGATGCCGTTTCCGAACAAAGGACATCGGGGTGAATGCCGCTGCCACATCCACGGGCCCTGAATGGGACTAGAAAGAGTTCCCTTGCTTTGTGACTCCTGGTGCTACCGTCTCCCACTTCACAAGCCACCAGTCAGTTGGGACCAAAAGCCTGGGCATGTTCAACCCTTCATCATGACCTACCAGTGAGGATGCTGGTGAATGAAACATGGTGAAACATGGAACCTGATGGCATGGACCTGCATGAACCTTTGGAAGACCATGTTCCATGGGTGTCGTGTAGATTTCCCAAACCGGAAACGCCCTCGGCTGCCGGATCCACCCGGGACCTTCCTCACCAGGACGCCTATCGGCCCCAGAGGGTCCGTCATGAGGTCCGGTGGCAGCTGTGGGAGAACCATAGAGTTCAGCACGATAGAGAAGAGTCCTCAGTACAGGCAAGATAAGGCCATCACTAGTATAGGTTGGAGGCCATTGCTAGTAGGTTGGAGGCCATCGCTAGTAGGTTGGAGGCCATCGCTAGTAGGTTGGAGGCCATCGTTAGTAGGTTGGAGGCCATCACTAGTATAGGTTGGAGGCCATCGCTAGTAGGTTGGAGGCCATCGCTAGTAGGTTGGAGGCCATCGCTAGTAGGTTGGAGGCCATCGTTAGTAGGTTGGAGGCCATCGCTAGTAGGTTGGAGGCAATCGCTAGTAGGTTGGAGGCCATCGCTAGTAGGTTGGAGGCCATCGCTAGAGAATGGTCCGGTGGTTTTTTCCGCAACAGAATGCTCCTACCAGTGGTTCCAAAAGAGAACCAAAAGGGTGAGTTTTGGGGTCCTTAAGTGAGTGGATAGCGAACATATGTGAACACAGCCAAAACGTCTCCAAGAGGCACCCCGACATGGAACTGCTGGGATATTCCTCTACAAAGCAAAGCTTTCAAGGTCAAAGTTCACAGCTTGCAGCAACAGGGGTCACAATGGCGCTCGAGACTCACAAGGCTCCAACTACCTCTGTGTTGCCTTTAAGTGGTTTTGGCTGCCTTGTGAGGATACAGCTGGAACGTGCTGGAACTCTAGGGCCTAATCCACGCCTTTGCACGTCCTCTATTTCGAGCTCGGACATGGTAGGGACAAGAGCAATGACATGTCGCGACCCCAAACACTGCAGGTGATCATACTGAGGACAGTGGCAGTGTTGCTCGCGTTCGGTCACGAAGCGTCGCAGCCCCTCAAACACACACAAGCAAACACCAAGTTCCAAGTGTCCGAAGATCACCTGCGCAAAAATCGCCCAGGCCATCAACGAGCAAGGCGCCAGTTGGGTGCGCCCGCCCTGCGAGACAATGACGCTGACCAGCGCGAAGACCGCGGGGCCTGCTATAACGCCTCCCTGCCGTGCACACTGGGTCAGAACCATCCAGAAAGACATCCTCAATTCACATGATTGATGGGCTCGCTTGGTACCAGACTCCCAAAGATCCCGCTGACCCCAGGTTCCACTGGTCAGCAACCAGTTGTACAGGCCAGTTCCACTGTTGGACTGGCAATGATGCACCGAATCCCAAAGCCGCAACCCACGAGACCCCAAATGCGCTTCTAAACCTAAACAAACGATATAGTGGGATTGCCCTATTGGCTGATCAGTTGGGCTGGTTGAAAAAGGGGTCAATGTAAACACTATAAATGACTATATATATATATATATACACAATTAATAATTGGATTATTTGGATTAGGCGGCTTCATCATTGTATGACTTCAGCTGAAGCATTGTCTGTCATGGTCGCAAGGTGATCATGGTTGGCGACATCGCAAAAACCCGCAACGCATGTGATCCAACCATGGAATGATGACGACAGTGATCCGACCATCAATTGCCTTCAACCATCTTCAACCGGTTTCTTTCCAGCCCGCATGCGCGTGAAAGGGTGGTGGCTTCCCCCCAAACTGAACGATCAAAGGCCCAGCATCTCACTCTTGGGTGTGAACTTGCCCCACATGACCAACAGCGGCACTTGGGGCAAGGACAAACAAAAGGCAGCAACTTGGGAGAGCAACATCATCACCCAGAAGACTGCCTTGGAGGCAACGACTTGGAGCTTTCAATCTCGAAGAACCGACTCAGTCGGCAGTGCCAGGAGTGACAAACGTGCCAGGCTACTAGCTATTATCAGTACTCAGTCATTGTACCGAAGGGTCCTTAAGTCCCAACTCCAGTCCAAGGAACCCTGAAGATTCACCAAATTCTGATAGCCTTCTGTGCTTCAGCCCAGCGACGCGCTTTGATGGAAGGCTCCAATGAACCGCCCAGTTCGAGACCACCGCTTCGAGCAGCATGAAAAGGCTCGCCAGTAGATTGGACCAAAGGATCAAGGCACGCGCCAAGCGTTGATCCCAGAACTCCTCATTCACCACCCTCTTACCTGGGCATGTCAATGACAACTCTACCAGGACCCCTTCCCACTAGGGGTGACATGTTTGGCGCCCTTCCAACAGGTGGTGCAAGTGGTTTATGGTTTGGCACCTGTTGTCACCGGAACAGCTGTTGGAGGGTTCAGGTATAGGATTTAGCAATTTGACTCAGCATGCAGCACGTGTTCTTGGTCAGGAACCTGTGGCAGTCAGCTCGGAGAATGAGACAATTCGTCCAAAGACGACCAGATTAGATCTGGACCATGGTGGCTATGATCGCAACTGGGATGCCATGCTCGCCTGTCGTCTTGACAGCTTAAAGAGTCACATAAAAACAGAAACCCCTGTCTGGACTCCAATCCCAGACCATCCATGGGACTGGCCCTGTGTACCTTGGGAAGGTTTTGGAGGTCCAACCTAAGCAGCTCAGCTTCAGCTCGCTGGTGCCTTCGGCTCCGGGCTCCGCAGTCGGCTTTTGAAGGTCACGTCCGCTGCCGATCCCACGTTTTAACAAAAAGGTGCAGCAGTGATAGCAATCCATATACGATTATACGAACTTTTCACATTCGAGTCCATGCCCGTGTAGACAAAGAAACGCTGAAACTGTATTGGTCGGAACAAATGGGCTAGTCCTTCAGAGAACCGATTTGATGCCGCCTTTTCATGAGGCAATTTCTCCCAACACATCCCAACACCCTTCACAACCACATGGTCAAGCCAAGCTGCCCATGAAGACCCCCAGAATCGAGGCGATCAAAGAACTACCAATAAAGAAACCAGACATCGTGGCGCTTTGGCCCATGCTGGCGGCAAAATCCAAGGTCACTGGCAGAAGCATCGCTTCATTAACGTAGCCGCAAAACCAATAGAAGAGTAAGGAAGACTGGAAGAGCAAACTGCTAGACTTCCCGTTGGCCAACAGCGGTTCTATCTTCGCAGCATACATCTCGTGTGCGAAGAACATCAAATACCAGAACAGCAGGAAAAGCCAAGCAGTCAAAGTGAAGGGCGCCAAACGGTCTGAAAAACTCCCCGCAGTAAGGCCTTTGGTCAGTGGGCCTCTGACATGCACGATGCTTTGCGCAAGCACCGCCCAATCCTGCTCCATAGTGCAGTCTGGCAGTCAAGTGGGCAGTCATTCAGCCAACGGTGCGGACTCGACATGCATCGAACTATGAACTTGATCCGGTGCCATCGGTTTTTTGTCAGCATAGATGTCGATTGGCGGGTAGTGAAATATATCACTTGAGCTATTCCTATTTCGTAGTCCCCCCAGCTTGCGACTTTCGTAGTCACCAGGTAACAAATTTGTTGGAGACGAGTCGACTGGGAAGAACCCTGCACCAGGCGACACATCCCAAATACTTGGTCAGTGCGCTTCGTATCGCTTCGTGCGATCCAGACACCAACCCAACCCCATCGCCGACATCCGGACTGGGTACGTGGACAAATCCACACTCTGAGCACTCATGTTGAGCTAAACACCGACAATTCGATGTGCACTGTCTTTTGAGTTCAGGTCGGGATGTTGAGCTAGATCGATGATTGGTGTAAATCTCGATGTGGCCATGTGATTCTGAAAGTTCATGTGTGGCGTCGTGTGATGAAACATGTGTGCGATGATTGGTTATGTGTTTTTCTGTGGCGATGTGCGACTTCAGTCTTCACGCGCGCCTTCAGTGTGAAGGTGATGGCTGTGTGGCAAACATATTCTGAGTAGTGGTTGCTGTGGTTATACTGCTACTTCATAATCGTACCCAACTGACCGCAGTTTCTAAGGGTAAGCAATACAACCAGTGATCAAAGCACTCCCTTTAACGGTCTCATTTCAGAACCACCAGTTCGCCACTTCGCCGGCCACTCGCCAAAAAGCGCCATGTGACATGTCACATCCCTTTCCAACACATGGCCAACACAGAACTCGCCGGCCAGTGGCACTTGTTGCACCTCAAACCTCCTTGCCATTCTTGGCTTTGTTCCAAAGCATCGATGCAGCTCGATACACCTGCAGAATGCCGAGAATGCCGATTCTGACCCCGATCCTGCGCAGGCAGTCAGGTGTATATATATTATATATCCGTGTGTGTCAAAGGGATATTATAGATCTGGGATGATCTGGGTGTTCGCTTCCTTCATGTCGATGAATAACATCGCTTAAAACAGGCAAAACCAGTTGCAAGACGAGACCAGAACTCCGAACTCCCAGAACCCAACCCGTTTTAAAAAGCGACGCTGTCCAGGGAGGTTGTCGGAGCAGGAGATGGGTTTCGCTCCCAACTCCTCTGACATCTCACCTCTCACAGGAAGATTATGAAAGATCATGTATGCCATTCATGGAATGAAATCCAACACCCAATGCCCCGAGACTGAGCACGACGTGACTTAGCGCCAAGTCGCCGTGCTGGTGCTCAAAGCCACCATCACCAGCTGCAGGGCGGCGTAGAGGTTTCGCCCCCCGAAGTCCAGGACGGTCCGGGCCACCATCGGTGCCATGAAACGAGCGGCACAGGCCAAAGACATGTTCCAAGTCCGGTAAACCTGGAGGAAGGCGAGGCAGGAAGTCGAGGCAGGAAGTCCACTGATGGTGGAGAGTGAGTGGGTTCGTGGGGTTCAGTGTGTCCAAGCACTGGCGCAGTCTCCAAGCTGAGTTGACTTGGAGCGTTCAATAGAGAAATTGGCAGGTCAGTGACCCAAACAGACCCGAGCTATTGGGCCGCCCCACCAAAAGACACCACCAGACAAGCTCCCATGCTTGCGCCTCAATGCTGAAGTCGCTGCCTTCCTTTGCAGCACGGGAAGCCCAGCCCTCAGCAATGCCGTTGGAGACGCTGGCGCAGCCGTAGACCAAGCCATCGGCCAAAAGAAGGCCGAACGCACCGGTGCCGAAGTCAAAGAGGAAGATCACCTGGCAAAGGCACGCGGAAAAGGATGAAACATGAGGGGAGAACTGAGATGTAGCACGCACGTAGCCCACGTCACCCTGCTAAGAGCCAGGTTCCTCAAACAGTCAAACTGCACACATCTCAGATTCATTTTTGATGTTCGTTACCTTTTTTTTTGATGGTCCCTCAGGCTCGACGCTTGCAGCGGGGTCAGCCCTTTTCACGAAATCCGACGACATTCAAATGAACCAAGTAAGGTCAAATTGTGGATTCATATCACCTGGGAGGCCATTCAAATGGATCAACTTCTTTCCTGTGGCCCTTCAGATGGCCAAACCATATGTAGAAAAGACTAAACTGCAGGCTCTTGCACTCCCTGAAACAAACATTAAAGAACCACAACAAATTGATTGGTCATACATGAAATTTCAACTGTGTTTTGATAAAGAATATTGATACTATGTTCTGGCAAATGATGGAATGTTGTATTGATGTTCACTATGTTGCATGAGATAATACCGTCTCTCAGAGATAGAACCACTTGGCCACCTTTGATGTTTCTGTCCAGTTCTTCTAATCGGCAAATGAAGAACAACAAAAACACACAAAACACTACCCAAACACATCCAAACACTCCCCGTATGGCATATATATATATGCCTACATTGTACGGCATATACGCCTAAATTGACTACCCAAACCACCCCAATGTATATAGATGGAGTCCAAATTCCAGATGGAGTGTCTAGGATGGAAAGGTAGGGAATTCCATCGACGACCGATGGAGGGCGCACAAGCAAAGCTGAGGAACGCCCACCAGCGCAATGGCATTGCAGGCAAAAAACACCGTGGACTCCTGGCAAACCTGGCCGAACGACGGATGCACTTCCACCGCTACTGGGATGATTCTTCTGTTGGAATCGGAGATCATTTCCCCATTCATGGCTCCATTCCCCAGGCCTATACAACCAACATCCCAAAATGTGGAAACAATTTGATTGGTGGTGCACTAAAGGAATCCAAGGACATGTCTTACCGGAACCGTGTTTCATCCTTTATGAACCTCTGCCAAAACGTCCTATCAAGAAAAGGACATGCTTCAGTATACGGTTATTGCTCTTGAGGAGGGCCTATCGTAATTGGTCAAGCCCCAGCCACAATTTCGTTCAGCTGAACATATCTCCAAAAGACATGGCGACATGGCTCTTTGAGGGGGACCGGTATACCCTTTTGCAGGTTCCAGCCAAAGTCTGAAATAGGGCCAGCCCTTCTTTACGAAATTGATCATTGTTACGAAGCTGGTGATTGCTGATAATGCCTATGATTGACCTGCTGACCCAGAATGATCAAGGACTGTGCAATGCGGCGTTTTCGCGCGTTCAGAAGACCAAGATCGTCAGGCGTCTTCGGAAAGCCAATTGTTGGTCCCAAAAATGCCCGTGCACCACCTCAGAACCAAAGGTCCTGGCATACAACCTGGTGGTATTATGTGGTATTCCAAAGACTTCCTGGATGATCCTGGATGCGTGTCCCTTCTCCGAACTCTTGACACAACTTGCGGCCAGCAACTGTCCAGCTCCCTGCAGACTACTTCCCGATGCTGGTGGCCCACTCCCAAACAAGTAAAACAGTATTAGGTACTTATATAATAAAACTTAATCCGCCGACCCCAGTCTAGGACGATGAGGGTACGTGAGCGTGAGCGTGGTACGGGGGCCGGGTGTTTCGTGGTACGGGACTCCAAGCTGGGCTGCTGGGCGGTCTGCGATGACTTCATGTGCAAAAGAGCCGGTTGTCATTAGACTGGCATGTATGTATAACTGTTTTGTTCCGCACCAAGTGTTTTACCTTTTACGGAACACATGAAAAAGCATCGCCCAGGATCTGGCCTGGGGTTAGACTCTCCCCTGATTCCTTTCTACATTGACCCCCAAAACCACCCCAATGTAGGCATATATGGCATAAATGGAGTGTCTGGGTAATGCAAAACCTTGCAAACATACGCCGTGTTTTTTGCAGAGCCTCAGCGCCTGCGCAAACGCGAGCGCCTGGTTTGGAAGACCCACTGGAGGCCGGTTCAAGGTATACCAACGGTCACATGCTGTAGGGCCGAGGTTTGTTTGGCGCACCGCACCCAAAGCAAAAATACGAGTGATCGTTTGACAGGAAGAACTGACAGGAAGAACTTCTTCCGAAGAAGGAAGAAAAACACACTCCTCCAATCCCCTCCGGCCTGTTCCTCCAACCCACGCTGCCCGGGACCCACGCGGAAGGAAGGGGCCTGGTGGGAGATCATCCACGTGGAGAGGCCAGCGAAAGCCAAGCCTCGGGGGTTGGGGTTCGCCACAAAGCACTGTTGCGGAGTCCAAAGGAGTCCAAATGATCCCGGACCCACTGGAGTTGGGTGGTTCATGGACACCCAGAATCACAGCTTTTTGGGGCTATCAATAGAAGCCCCTGGTCCGGATGTCCTGGTATCTCCTTGGATCGTCTGGCGTATCCAAGTCTGGGTCTTTTGCTGTCTTTCTCACTCTGTCAACGGTGTTTGGTTGCAGGTCATTGAATGGACTGCTACGACGCTCCGCTGGGTCTTGGAAGACGTGCCATCTACGTACTACGCTCCGCTCCGCTCCGCGAGGAATTTGGGGCTCTCTATAGAATGATCATCGGTTGCGGGGCCATTGCGCTCCCTCTCTGATGCTTTTGCAAGAGGCCGGTGAAGGACACCACCGTGAAGACGATCCCGCTCAGCTCCACCGACCAGCCGTAGGAGACCTGACAGGCACTCCCATCCAGGCGAGGAGACAGACTGCTTTTCAGTCCTCCAAATCGGTGTTACTAAGCCTTAAAGCAGTCAGGCCATTATAAAACAACGCCCAGAACTCTAAAACCAACCCTTAGCTTCCGAGAAGCTACCTTTTTTTTCATTGCTCCAAAAAGTTGTCTGCCAGCCTGTTTTTTTGGCTTCCAGGTTTTTTATGTTAGAAGCCTTTGGAAGCCAAAAAAAAGGCTTCTAGAAATCCAAAAAAGAGGCTTCTAGAAGCCAAAAAAAGAGGCTTCTAGAAGTCAAAAAATATAGCTTCTGGAAATGTATATCTATAGATATTCTTATATATTTATATAACATCATGATACATTTATGCGCTGCATCACTCTTTTGTCTATTTCATTTAGCCATTGCTGCCTTGGCTTGTCCAAGATGAGGGAATGGAGTGGCTGACATCCACCTCAGCAAGACCTTTTCAGAAGCCTTGCCAGGCTGGAATTTACCACCTCTGCGAAAAAATAAAGTTTGCAGTGACCCTGCAAATGTTTCATCCTTATAATTCCAGCTGTCTTTTGGACGGTTACCAAGCTCAACCAAATCCAAAATGTGGCCCAAGAGGTGGAGCTTGGGCTTTGATCTCCACAATCGAACCTCTGAGCCATCACTGGCTTGGACTTCTGCTTCTAAAGCCATGTACTGGCTGATGAATTTTCTTCCAGCCTTCACCAGTTCTTGTTTGTTGGAGGCTTCTAAACTGTTGTACATATGGCTGCAGTACTTGGCCACTTTGTAGACAGCTTTCTCATGCCAGGTGCCTTCATGCAGGCATTGTCTTTTGCACAATGGTTCGAGAAGGGGGCAAAAATCCCTGACTTCATGGGCCTTGCAATCCAAAACTGAGCTTTCTTTGGTTTGACTATATCCTTGACAGTCAACTTCTTGAGCCTTTTGCAGCCTGGAAAATCTCTTTCTTCATACATTTTTTGAATCTCTTGCCAGAGATTGGCACATCTTTCATCTTGAGAAGTGCCTGGAAAAGATGGCAGTAATTCTTTCAGAATTTGCCCTGCTGCCACAGCAAAACTGCCCTCATCACAAACATGCATCCAATCTGGCATGATGGTGCCATTACTGACATTGGGCAATTGAAACAAAGGATTGATTGACTTACCTCGATCCATGAGGAAAGTCAAGTAGGCATCCTTGTCCATGGTTTTCTCCAACCTAGCCATGCTCTGGCTCATTTACCTCCAGTTGTCTGGAGTGGCTTGGCACAGCCAGCAATTCCCTTTCTTCTCATTCCAAGTGCCTGCTCCAAAGTATTTACAATTCCAATCCCAATCAGATCGAATTTGGATGAGGGTTGCCTTCCCAGGCAGAGCTGCGCCTGCCCTAAATTTTCTGTAGGCATCATGCTTCAGCCAGGGTGAGCCATCATGTCTGGCTGTGGGAAAAGTGCCTTTGTTCAGGCAATCGAAGCTCCAAAACAAAATTCCACATATTGCTTGGATTGTTTCTGCTGCTATCATTCTGGTATCGAGGCAGCAGATAGGAATCCTCATAGCTGAGAAAGCTGGGCTGCATGGCAAATTCATGGGCCAAACATCTAATGCGGATTGATTCATGTACAGGCACTCTGCCCAAGCTTTGACCTCATGAGGTCTCTCAGGCAACCCCAGCACTGCAGCTTCTGCCAGCTTGTTGAAGTCTGGGTCTTGTGGGTCAGCACCCTGCAACTTGGCTATCTGGTACTTAACCATCGATGACTTTGTCAGTCCTTTTGAGCCTTTCCAGGCTTTGTTTGTGTACACTGCGACTGGCTGCAGATTCATCCAGAAGGAAAGTGTTGTAGTAAAACTCTCTTTTGGCTTGTTGGCTTCCATTGGCACATGCCTTGTCCCAGGCAGTCTTGAGGGCTGTGTCTCCAGCCTTGGCTTTCCTGGCAAGTTGCTGGTGCATGTCCTTCCAAGCATCTTTTGAAGGAGCAGGCAACTCCCCATCCTTCACTGCTCTAGCCTTTGCAGGCTTGGATTCAGTACTTGGGGCTTCCATAGCTGCTGCCTCAGAGGCTACAGAAGGAGTTGCCTCTGGAATGGCAGAGCCACTGGCTTTTGCTTTTGCTTTTGCCATTGCTTTCTTCTTGGGGGTTGGTGGCTCCACCTTCACATCGGGAGCCTTTCTTTTTGCCATCTAGCTACAGACACTGGCCAGTTGTTTAAAGCTTGAGGTCAGAAAAATGGCTGCAGATTTTTTTGGGTGGGGTTGAAAAATGTGACCAGGAACTTTTTGGAACTTTCGGAACTTTTGGAATTTTTGATTTATATAAGAAAACAATATCTAGGAAGAGAAAGTTCCAAAAGTTCCATAGTCCAAAAGTTCCAAAAGTTCCTTTTTTACATCCCTTTTGAAGTACCACTGAAAGCAGGCAGGCGCACCTTTTTTTTTCCAAAAACTCTCAGCTGCAGTGCTGGTAGAATGCCTTTTCAGGCAGGGTGCCATTGCTGGCAAGTTGCCATTGCTGGCATTTAAGGAGCAGCAACTGGTTCTGCTGCCCCTGCACCTCCAGTATCACCATCTTTTCCACCACTAGGATCCTTTTCCTGAGAGCCATTGTCTGGCTTTTCTTCCTTTGGCTGCTTCTTCCCTCTGGCTGTTTTGCTTCTCCTCCTGTTCTTTTTCTTTTTGCCTTGATCAGGCACTCCATCACCATCATCTTCTTCATCCTCCTCCCCCTCCTCATCCCCACCTTGAATGAGGGTGCCATCTGCTGGCATGTGCTCACATCTTGGTTTCCCATCTTTGCCTAACCTTGTCCCCACACTCTTCGACCTCTCCCTGCCATTGCCTTGCTCTTTCTTGTGCCCCCCTCGGCAGAGGAAGCCTCTTGGGCCCTCCTCTCTGCATCTTCCCTAGCAACAATGGCTAGCCGGTCTGCTTGTTGCTTTTCCCATTCATCCAACTTTGCTGGATCTTTTTCTTGGGCCATTTCCCTGGCTTTGCGATGCAATTCATACATTTGCCTCTTGAGAGCCTTATTCAGACTGTGGACCCTGGGCTTTAACTCCTCAGGGACTTCTTCACCTTTCCTTTCCAACTCTCTTCTTTGAGCTCTTCTTTTGGCAGAAGCCCTGCCATGAAACATCAGGGGCTCCTTTTGGTAAATTGACATTCACCAAAAAATACGGTTTGGATTCAGAGCCATCCCTGGCTCGGATGTAGCCCTTCTCCTTGAAGTTGCCCTTTTTGACCTAGCCAAAGCTGCAGCTTGCTACCCATGTGTTGTGGGTTGCCATGTGCACATGCTTTGCAGGCTTGGTAACTTTTGCAGTCTTGGGAGCCATTGCTGGCTTTTTTGGGGGGGTCATGCAGCTGGCAGGCCTTTTGTAGCTGCAATTCTTCCCATTTTTGGGTTTCAGCTTTTGAGGGGTCACTATACCAGATGAAGTGGAAGAAACTTCCTGTGTGCTGACCACAAAAGCTTCCTTTTCTTCACTGCCTGAGCTTTCGCTCTCCACCTTGGACTTTGTGCTGCTTGAGGCATTAAAATGTTTGATTTGGTGGCTGGAGCCTTTCCAAGCTGGGAGTCTTGCTTTTGAATTGTTGCCTTGTCATTTTCAGGCTGGGGGTCTTGCTTTTGAATTGCAGCCATTGCTGGGTCAGGGGCCATAAGAGAATCAGATGGCATGTGTGTTTTTCTTTTTAGCCTTCTTTCAGGCTGAGGCTGGGGTTCACTGGCGATGGGTGCCAAGCCCATGGCTTTCATCACTTGGAGGACTGCAGGGCTTGTCTTCTCTCCATTTTTCATATTTTTAGCTTTTTTGGTCAGCCATCTCTTGTATTGCACCAAGTGCTGAACGATCTCACCTGTGTCCAAATTTGACATTTTAGGGCAAGCAATTTGGAAAGAGAGCCTTGCTTCAGGCTTAGTGGGCTTTTCAGCAAACCAGACAGACAAAAAGGTTGCTTGCTTTGAAATAGCCATGTCTGGCTCAAGGGGAAAATCTGCCAAGCTACAATCCGGCACAAAGCCAGAGATGAGGCCAACCAATTTTTGTCATTCTTCCATCGCCTTTGGTCTGCTCCACTGGCAAAAGACGAGCCATTTCCAAAAAGATCTATGCTCTTGAGCTTGGGCTAGGTTGATGACATGGTTAGTAAATATATATCTATATATATATATTCTTTTTAGTTTGTTAATGAGCTACCATTTCCAGAAGCTAAAAAAACAAGCTTCTAGAAGCCAAAAACCAAATTTCTAGAAGCCAAAAAAACAAGCTTCTAGAAGCCAAAAAAACAAGCTTCTAGAAGCCAAAAATTTTGGCTTCTGGAGTGCTAACATTAAAAAATACTGGAAGCTTGTTTTTTTGTCAGAAGCTAAAAAAAGTAGCTGGCAGACAGTTTTCAGAAGCTAAAAAAACAAGCTGCCAGACAAAAAAACCAGCTGGCAGTCAAAAAAATGGGCTTCCAAAACTGGCTTCCAGGAGGGTGGGAGCCAAAAAAACTAGCTGGCAGATAGAAAACAAAGCTTCTCGGAAGCTAAGGGAACTGTCCAGAACTATCAGCCGCGAAACTCCTACCGTCCAACCGTTTCTTGGCAGCTAAAGCACCTAAGGGCTGATGATCAGTTTTGGCTCCCTGAAACTGGCAAAGCACCTAAATAGTTCCTTTCCCCGGTCGTTTTCCAACAAAAGCAGCACCCCTCCGTGATGCTGACCGCACCTCGAGAAGCATGATGGTGCTGACCTCAATGGAGGCAGTGACCAACTGACGCTCGAAGGCATAGAAGATCATGCCCTGTACCACCTGAGCGGTGCATCGCGTGTCGAGTCCGGAAAACAGGAAATCCAAGCGCAAGAAACGCACGGCGTTGACAAATTGACTTAGATGGCTATAGCCATATTAACCCCTTCTGTTCGACGACTGCGTCCAAATCAATCTCGGCATTTCTCCTCTTGGGCATCCCTCTGGAGTATGTCTTTCCAAAAATCTGGACTCTCATTCACCCGGTGCATCGAAATATATCGAAATGAATTCACAGTCCAATTCCTATCAATTCCTAATGGTATGTGTATCGAATGCTTCTGCAGGCAAAAGAAAAAACACCGGAAGGCCTAACGGACGGGCGCGCTGGATAAAGGCCAAAAAAGTTCGCCCAAACCCATAAGTTCGTGAAAACAACTGAATCAGGTCCGAAGAGTTGCAGCACCCACAGATTCACTGGCAAAATCCAAATAAATAAGTTATTGTAATATATGCAACAATATGTATATATATAGACCAGATTTCATATATAGGATTATATAGGTATACCATGGTATACCCATCCCCTATCCACGCCCCAAGCGTTCCCAACCCCCCTTATCCACCTCCTGCCGCTGCGGCAACTCCAACTCCTCCACCGACCGCTCTGTCTTCGGGTCGTTGCTCAGCGTCACATCTTCCGGTTCCTCCGCGTCGTCCGCGTCAGCGTCTGGCAGGGGAGGCATCTGCTGCGGGATGACCAGGGCGTTCAGCAAGACCGAGGCCAGTCCTGAAGCGGAAGCAGCCACAAAGCTTATTGCTAGTGGGAGCGTCACACAGCACTGAGCGAGTCCGCACCAAAAATTGCATAAAGCCACGAAAACACATCAACCTCTCAGCCTTGAGCATTGAACAATATTGAACAGGCCACTCTCCATAAAGGTTTGTCGTCCCTAGCTTAACTACTTGAAGCACCGCCAACAACGGGCCGTGGTGATTTGTGCCTTTTTTGGACATTGTCATCGATTTCACAACCATTTCAGGGATGTAATTGGTAGGATCATAACGGTGGGTATCTAATGTCTTCTGTTGTTAAACAATAGCGGATGAATGCGAATGATCTTCGCGTCATGTCTATACAACTTGAAAACATTTGAACACATTGTTGTCTACGATGCATGAGGAAAGTGTAGCTGATGCACATAAGAAGAATGAACAGGAGCTTGTGTGGCAATAGATCTTAAACAATTACGTAAACCCAAAAGCTTCCAAAGCCTCGATAGTTGGGGGTAACTTGAATTGACTGTTAAAGTGTCAATTCAACTGGGAAGTGCACAGGAGAATTGTTCCCCAATGCAATTACGCAATTCAATGCTTGAAAACGCTGAACAAATCTTCCCCAAGCTAGATAACTATGTGCATTCAACTCATTTTGCTGATCGGAATTGATGTTTTTCGCACTACGGCCCCTTATGGGTGGTGGACCAACTACTATATATACGCTCAATGACGAACTACTGCTAAAAAGCAACTCAGGGAAAATAGTTATAGATATATTGTTTTAATATACGATACAGTAGTTGCCTTTAATGTATGCAGGCTAAAGACTGTTGATTGAAAACCCAAAGTAGCTGGATGAACAAACATCTCCATACATCAACAGCCTGTCATCGACATCCATCGACAACCAAAGAGAGCCTTTGGAAACCGAGTCGCGTTGATTCAAAAACCCACTATACCTGTTTCGTTGCACAACGTCCTTCGCCGACCAAAAGCCATGAGGGGGGGAACCCGATGTGACGGTCGGTCACGGTCGTGTCACGGTCGGTGTGTGTAGCATGATGTATCCAGGTACCCGCTGGTTTGAGGTGTCAGAAAAACCCTCCTCATCCCTCCTTGATTGCATGGATGTAAGACCTCCCTGCAGGCCCTCTGGAAGACCCGAGTTGGAGTCTCCCGTCTCCCGCCTGAAAATACCCACCCACATATCGAGTAGAGTACTGCGACGCGATGTCTACGGTTGGGCCGTGTGTCCCAAGACAGCTTGTGCCAAAACCACCCAGGCCATCAGCGAGGGAGGCGCAATGGGCGAACCACCCTTCACCAGGACACTCACCAGCGCGAAGATGGCTGGGCCGACCAAGAGGCCACTCTGCCGCACACATTGGGTCAGAATCATCCAGAAGGACATCCTGAGTTTCAGAACCTTCCAACATCTCATGGGTCCGAAAACCCTGTTTATAGAATGCAGGCAGCACTCGATCGCACTCCGGGAATGGGATAGTTGGGATACAGTCTTCATGAATCCTGGATTTGGAGACCAAGCTGTGTGGTAAGGGGGGGTGCGGGGTTCGACATTGACATGGAACTCCTGGCCAGTGAAGCACAAGCGCGTCGACGGAATGAGCCGGTCCAGGCGTTGGCATGAGCCGGTTCCGCCGTGGCCCCAAGGTCGACCCATCTCACGGTTTCACGAAAAGAGCTAAAAGACCTAAGTGAGCAAACAACCAAAACAACCCCAAATAATCCTACTGGCGGTATCCCTGTTTAGGCGATATAGCTACTCTTGTGCGTCGCCGTGTGTCTGGCAATCAGCCTGTGTCCCACCCAAAACAAGTAGCACGAGTTTAAAACTTGTGCTTGTGCTACAATAACTCAAGTTGCTAAGCCTCTTTCTGGGCACACCCAAAACTATGTATCATTCAGCATCTGGACATACAGTTGTGCGTTTTTTTTGTGCAAATAGAAAATGCATGAACATGTTCACTTCTTCCAGGGTTTGGGTGTCAAATCATTGAACACACTGCAAAACCTCCACATTTCAGCATTTGCGAGCATCTCACTCTTGGGTGTGAACTTGCCCCACATCACCATGAGCGGCACATAGGGCAACGCTCCAACAAAGCCATGCGCTTGGGAGATCAGAATCATCACCCAAAAGACCACCTTGGAGGCTCCCAGAGTGCTTGTCACCATGTTTCTTTGAAACGGCAATTCATCCCTCCTTCACTATGCATGTCACTTCACACTACACTCCAGTTCCCGGAGGTCCAGTTGAATAGGTCCAGTTCCTGAAGACTTTGGCCCAAAGGCTTGTGCCAAGACTGGAAGATGTCTGGCACAATACTGGAGGAATTCAATTCAAGCTAGACTTCAATCTGAGGACGCTGAGAACCGGTCGTCCCGGTTCTTTTCTCGTCCACATCTCCCGACTCATGAACCGCTGGAACGCCCAGCGACCCCTTTGGCTGGCATGCTCCAATGAACCGCAGAGTTGCAAACGGCAGCTTCCAGTAGCATGAAGAGGGTTGCAACGAGGTTGGACCACACAAGCAAAGAACGTGCCCTGCGCTGATCAAACGAAGCTTCTGGCACCAGCTTCTTGCCTTAGATTTGGGGCATTGGAAAAAAAGAACAATCTTAAGACATCTTAAGGCTTGAGACGGTGTTCCGAACTTGAGAGGAGGGAGACACGAAAGGTAGGACAGCGGGAAGAGAAGAGAACGCGAGAGGCAGGAACAAAAATGCAATGTTCGACATGGTGATTTATCCCCTCGGAGGCGACCTTTCGTAAATATTATTTCATATGCACTCTCAATGTTCAAACATATGCTCTCGAAATGTTCCAAAAGATTCTTAGGAAAACAAACTTGCCCCATGGCTCAGATCATCGGTGAGCATTGAATCGGAGCACCATAGGATTTGAACTATCCAGAAACCATAAGAGGCTCACGAAGACGTTCCCCAGGAGAGAATTGACGTGCTTCACAAAACAAACTCTAGGTATGTATCCCCTCGGGGAACACCTTTCGTGATTAGAATTTCATATGCACTCTTTCTGAATGTTCAAGAGGGTTTCAACTATCCTGAAATCATGAGAGGCTCACGAAGACGTTCTCCAGGAGAGAATTGAATTTAGAGGGGGGGGGGGTTGAATTGAATGATCAATTCTTAGACCCGGACGCGCCAAGACTTGCTTCGCAAGACAAACTCAAGGTATCCCCTAAAGGGCTACCTTTCGTGAAAAATATGCATAAGAGAAGATGCAAATCTTCGGCGATTCAACCCGGAACACGCCAGAATCATCCGAGCAGTTATCTCGCTGGACTAGCCAGGAACCCCCTGGAATATTGAACTCCTCTGCAAGCAGGGGATGGTCCACCCATGCTTGGGTAAATGGGGTAAATGTAAAGACGGAGAAGGCCCACAAAACCCGGAATGACCATGAATGACCCCCTTTCAGGGTCGAACACCATGGGGTTCTCTAATCGTTCGAATTCAAAGAGATCATTGATGGGGATGGACCAGGATGGATCAAACCGGTCCAACAACAAGGAAAGCGAACGACCAACGACCGAACTGGCACCCGGTGGGTCCCCTGGTGCCAGTCTCCAAATCGCAAAAAAGAATGCCCAGCGGCCCATGAAGAGTCCCAGAATCAAGGCGATCAAAGAACTGCTAATGAAGAAGCCAGACATCGTGGCGCTTTGGCCCATGCTGACAGCGAAGTCCAAGGTCACAGGCAACAGCATCGCCTCGTTGACGTACCAGTAAAACCAATAGAAGAGCACGGAAGATTGAAACATCAGGCTGCTGGCCTTCTGCTCGTTCGCCCAGAGTGGTTTGACCCTGGCAGCATACATCTCGTGCGCAAAGAAGATCAAGTACAAGAAGAGCAAACAAAGCCAAGTAGTCAAGGTGAAGGGCACCAAACGCTCTGAAAAGCTCTCTGCAGTAATGTCTTTCGTCAGTGGGCCACGCAAGTCCACGCTGTGCGAAAACGCTGTCAAGTTCTGCTGCACCATGATGCCCCTAAAAATCCGGATCAGTGGTTTGACCCGTCGACCTAGTGGGCAGTTTATTTTTTCTCACATGACCTTACGTAACACAGCGGTGCCACATCGGGATATCATGAGCATTTTGCAAAACAGCCTTTAAACATCAGTCATTACATGCGCTAAATGTGCTACAGTACATGTGGATTGTGTTGATATTGTCACTTGTCCTTGACCTTTTGTGTCTGCCGGCTTTTACAGGGCAGGGGATGACCCTGAAGACCACGAAACGGTTCTGTAACAAACAAACTTGATCCGAGAGGGGCCCGGTCCGCGCAAGAAGAACGAGACCCTGAGCGGCCGAGCTCCTTTCGATGGCCCAAGCTGGATCACTGATCATCAGTAAACCCTATAACTTATATAGCCTGTAGGAGCCTTTTCCCAAGATCTTCCAAGCTCTGTTGGATGCAACGTTCTGCGTTCTTTGGCGCTTTTCTCCTGCGTTTTTCAGGCGACCCTGACGTCGTTTTGACGACCCAAGTCTAACACCGTTCGAGCAGCATTCCAAAGAACTCAACGCGGTGGGGTCAATCTTACTTTATCAATCAAGGGGGTACTGACTCCGCTGGATTGCTTGCTTGCCCCAACAAGGAACCCATTGAACAATATTGAACATATCCATTGCACATCCGCCACACAAGATGTTACCCACCATTACAAGACGTGCCAGGCAAACACTGCCCTCCGGCACAGTGGGGCCACGAAAAACAGCGCGCACCCCGACCCTCTCAGCCCGAGAAGAAGAGCGCTCATGTGTCTCAACTGGCGATGTCGTGCTGTTTGGCGATGTCGCTCCAAGTTTGAACCATCGCCCTCCCATCCAAGAGAGGTAGCCAGTGACCGGGACCATAGGACCGTAACCTGGGGTACCCAACTGGGATAGGCTATAGGGTCTTTCAACCTCTGTTGGATAACGCTTAAAACATTTTGAGATGGACACTCCGTGATGGAAATCCCCCATAACGAAATCCCCCAATCCACCTGAGATGCGTGGTTTTCAGCCGAACCGAACCGGTCATTCCTTTTTCAACCCGCACAGGTCCAAGTGGGCCGAACGGAAACCCGGCCGCGCTTTTGGCATTTCAAGCCGGGCCAAAGAAGAATAACGGAGATCATCCGCTTTTGAAGGTGGATCTGCATGAAGCATCATGAAGCAAGGAGATTGGAAGAAAACGACACCACCATGTCCTCTTTGTCGACATTCTCTTGACGAGCTGTTGCGGTGACATCTGTTGCGGTTTGCACATGACGTCGCTGCCCCAAGTTTGGACCTTGCTCTGGCCCCTTCACACCCTCCAGCTTCATGACCAGGTATTGATCAGGCAAACCAGGACACACATGGCGCGCAGCAAGTGGCTTGGAGCCCGCCAGCTCCTGACAGCCTCTCGCTTGGGCAGCTTGATGAGGCACTTGCCAGGATGGAAGCTTTTGCAAGCCTTCGAACTCTGTGAAACATGTAGAGCTTGGCCTTTCGAAAGACTCCAAGCCTTTTAAGGCCATACACTGCAAACGTGCTGCATGCACTTTGCTCATCCTTGCTCCATCTCTCCTCATCGTCTCCGCAGCGAAACTCTACACACCGAGCCTCAAAGGCCTCTCGGTGCGTGTGGTGCGTGTGATCGGTGGCTGTGCTGCGACAGGACGCCTGGTGAACCGGTCGCCGGAAGCCGCTGAGGCCAGGCCTCCAAACGCCCTGTGCAGTTCACACCTCCTTGCCATTCTTGAAGCTGTGGACTTCACGGCTTAGGTTCCAAATCATGGAGACCGCCTTATAGACCTCAGCCCCAGGTGTCCAGACGACAGTCGGAGCGGCCGGGAGTCGAAGGGGTAGACAGTGACGAGCTGCTAGGTTAGCAGCTATCCCGAGAAAAGGACACCATGAACTTCTCATATTCTGTTGGGCCAGTTGTTGAGTGGTTTTCTCAAAACACTTCAGAAGGACCTGGTCCAAGTCGTATAACGGTATAACGGGCTTTCACATCGAACAGTGCCAATGATCATCAGCAGAATGGATCTAAATTCCAGACGAGTTCTCATGCAAGCAACCCAAATGTCTTCCCTCTTGGTTGGTCTGTCGGTTAGGGAGAACACCACTGGCCATGGACTGGGTTCACACCTTTTCAAAGGCCTTTGCTGGGTTGGAGAACCAGCTTTTCAATGCCTTTGATCTCTTATAGTTTGCATTTGTGTCAAATGTGCGCGGTTGTGTTATTTTAAGTGAAGGAAGCACCGTTTTCTTGCGGCAAGTCGCCGTGCTGGTGCTCAAAGCCACCATCGCCAGCTGCAGGGCGGCGTAGAGGTTTCGCCCCCCAAAGTCCAGGATGGTCCGGGCCACCACTGGCGCCAGGAAACGAGCGGCACAGGCCAAAGACGTATTCCAAGTCCGGTAAACCTGGACGCTTCAGGCCGAGGCGAGGTTCAGGCGAGGCGAGGCTTGCCTTTCAACTTGTTTTTTCTGTTGAAGCCATGGAAGCCATGAGCCATGCATCGTTCTTTTTCGGGTGTGTTTTTGGGCACAAAAAGGGTGACAAACTACCACCCGCATAGCTCCTGTGCCAAACAAAGAAATTTGCAGGTACGGCCAGCAATTAAGTTACCAAACTTTATGGGCAACAAAACACCACCATACGGACTCACATGCTGCGCCTCGTTGCTGAAGTCCGTGCCCTCCTTGGCTGCACGGGAACCCCATCCCTCGGCGATGCCATTGGACACGCTGGCGCAGCCGTAGACCAAGCCATCGGCCAAAAGGAGGCCGAAAGCACCGGTGCCGAAGTCAAAAAGGAAAATCACCTGAAAAACAAGAAAAACACTGACAGTGGTGAAGAACTCGCATCAACAGGAGTGGAAATTTGTCATACTGCAGGGCCTCAGGATGCCTCAGGCTAATCATGAAATCTATAAATCTGTTGAAACAAGCCAAGCAGTCCTGTAAAGCATCTGAAATGCGATGTGCAAAACCTTCTTCTGGCCCCTTGACCCAGCTCCCCCTTGACCCAGGGCGGTTTTTTTTGGTCATGTGGTCACTCCGCTGATTGAACATATTGAAATACTTCCTTGGCTTTCCACCCTCACAAACTTCCACTTCGAAAGCATGCTTTCCGGATGGGGAAGCCGTGGGAAGCTCACACCCAAGCAGCTCTTTTGAAGTGGGAACACACCAGGAACAGTTGTGACACTGGAAACAACAAAACTTACTTCCAGGAGTCATAAGATGGGGTGCCGAACTTGGAGGATAGGGAGGGGTGCCCCTGTCACATCCACTCACTTAATTAGGGACCAAAAAGCATTCCTTTGTGACTCCTGGCTCAGCTTCTGCGGCCCAAGGGGCGCCCGCCAGCGCCACCACGTTGCAGGCCAAGAAGACCGTCGACTCGGTCAAGACCTGGCTCACACAGCAGGCAAACGGCCCACCGTCCTGTTCAGCACGGCCAGGTGGGCCAGGGTTTGAAGGTTAAAAACTATCCTATCCCGGATTTTATGGGAGTGGCAGTGGATATGCATAATGCCTTGACCCCCTTTTCAACAACCCCGACTGATTGGATATTAATAATATATAACATTATTATATATATATATATAAGGGTATAAATATTGTGCCGGTCCTAGACAGGTCGTGTCTGGGGAAATACAAGCACCCAAAGAAAGAACACAGGCTTCACCATCTGACTCAGAGCCGACCATGACCATGACATGGAATACCTTCGGGCTTCACGATCTGACTGATCCAACATGCTTGGCTTCATGCTTGGCTTCGGGCTAGGACCCGTCTTCGTAAGTCGATCGACTGATACGACTCAGCCGATGACCATTTCGATCGTTCGCTTCGAGAACTCCGAAGCCACCGGAGATCGTTTGGATGGTTACCAAGGGGACCCACTGCTGTCCAAACCGCATGCTGTTCGAACAAGGGGACCCACTGCTGGTTGATTTCATCGGCATCATATATGTCTTCGACTTAACCAGGGTAATGATTGTCCTCGCACCCCAAGTCTTTCAACATGTTTATCCCATTTGCTCACCCCCTCCCCCGGCGCCTGGCGGGAGATCACCGCCGAGGCGAGGCCTGAGAAGGCCAAACTGCTCAAGGACACCACGGTGAAGATCGTCCCGCTCAGCTCCACTGACCAGCCATAGGAGACCTCAACGGTGGAAGCAAGCGGATGAAGTCTGCTCTCGGAGTGGTCTGGTGGAAGAGTTCTAGGCATATACCCTCAATTTGTCTCCTTTTCAAGCAGCCTCAATGAGCCCCACTGGGACGGCTGGAGCTACTGTAGTGACCATATATGATCATATCATTACTTTGAGATTCCCCTTTTGGGGGGGCCCCAAGAAGAGGTGGATGCCATAGGGACAGGAATTGTACTCTTGTACTGTCTGCATCGTTCCGCCGTTCCCAGGTGGTCCTCGAGAAGCATGATGGTACTGACCTCGATGGAGGCGGTGACGAAATACCGCTCAAAGGCGTAGAAGACCATGCCCCGCACCACCTGTGCGGTGAAATGGGACTTGACTCAAAGCAACATGTGCAGCACCATACGTCGAATTTACGTCTTATTGATTGCACCAAATTATGTTGGTTCTTGGAAGAGTCCAAGGTACAGTTGAATCTAGTTGACACTGCATGCAGCCTTGCCTCGTGAATTGCATGACCGGCACTTGTGAGTTGACATGACAGCTCACCGTCCCCTGTGCTGTTTTGTCCGAAAAGGGGCAGGTGTTCTCCCCTTTGGGCAAAAGACTGACCAAAAGCAGAAAAGAGCACAAGAATCTTTCGGGTTGTACATTCACATTCACGTTCAAGGTATTGACTTGGACATCCATAAGCAAACACTTGAGCGGCTTGTTGTGCATAGACAAAAATGATATCGTTGCATTTTAACTGTACCTCATTCTTCTGGCAAACTCACACAATCTGTACTTCTCCAGAATGACTTGGGAGGTCACTTGTCACTTGACTAGCCCTGCAAAAATCAACGCCAGTCAAAGCCTTACAGTACACATGCCAACTAAAAGACAGGGTTGCCAACAACCAACAACCAATCAAAAATCCTCAAACCTCAATCCTTTTCAGTGTAAATGAACCGATATAGACCGAATGCCAATTTATGCCAATGAACAAACAACGTTCCCCCACCAGGCCATAGAGCAAGAGTTGTCTTCACCATCTTCAACAGCCAAACCCCGACGGTTTTCACCCTTTGCCCCCCCCCCGCCGCATCGGCGGTGCCGTCGGTTTCTCCTCGCCTCCCGGCGCTGGTCCAGCTCCAGCGCGTCCACCGACAGCTCGCACGTGCCACGTCCAGGGCTCCGCGGGGCCTCCGGGGCGTCCGGAGTGTCCGGATCCGGCAGCACTGGAGGTATGACCATGGAGTTCAGCAAGATAGAGGACAGTCCTCGGACCACGATGCTGGCACTTTCTGGCTTGGATTTATTGATGGGATCTTTGGAAGATGATGGCAACGATGATGGCATATACGTTTATAACTTCATGGGGGTCTGGGCCTCCAAATACCTCGGTGAACCCAAAGACATACCGCGATGGTGTTTGGTCCAATCTCGTGGTCCACCTGCAGCTCTGGCCTGGTTCGACCTGGTTCCCCCAAGTGTGGGTCGTTGATTGAAACACAGAGCCATCCACCCAGACCCGAGCTTTTTTCAGATCCCCCGAAGAGTCCTCGGAGCGAAGAAGCCAACTAACGTATAGCTGTTATATAATGTTATATAATATAGCTATACTGTAGTGATTGGTTTCTAGAGTCAACAAACCATCCCGAGGGTGTTCCGCAACTCCAACATGTGGGTTGGTTGGTTCGATCCAACATGATGTTTCACCTAACTCCATCCATCCAGTGATGGCACAAACCACAGGATGACTTTTGGATGGGGGTCCATGTTATGTCATAGGAATCACCAAACTTGGGGGGTGTGCCATCAGATGCCATCTACTCTACTCTCAATCCACGATAGAACACACAAGCAACACCAACACCGTTGGAACGACATCAAGAATCCGAAGACAACTTGTGCGAAAATCACCCAGGCCAGCAATGAGGCTGGCGCGACAGGCTGGCCCTGTTTCACAATGACGCTGACCAGCGCGAAGACCGCCGGGCCTGCTAGGAGCCCTCCCTGGCGTGCACACTGCGTCAGAATCATCCAGAAGGACATCCTCACTTGGCCAACTTGACATGGCACAAAATATGATCCGGAAATGCAAGGAACCGATCCCAGCACTTCCACGTCGGAATGGTTTAAGGTCGTCTCCCTCGGGTGGATGGTCTGAGTGGTCACTTTGAGACTCCTGTTTTCAACGTCAGCACTCCAACACCACCCCATCTACCCATAGAAATGGCCAGTTCCCTCAGCCTCGAATCTGCACATGTAGTCAGTCATTTTCAACACCGGCGCAAGCAGGAACATACATAGTAATCAGTGTATTCAAATATATACAGTAATGTGTTTTGTTCCAACGTGCAAAAGTTAGGTCGATCGATAAACCATGATGAACTGCTGGAACGTTCTGTGAGCATATCTGCGAGCATCTCACTCTTCGGTGTGAGCTTGCCCCACATGACCATGAGCGGCACATGGGGTAAGGCTAGACCGAAAGCGTGCACTTGAGAGAGCAAAATCATCACCCAGAAGACTGCCTTGGATGGAGATCTGAAGCCAAACGAGTGAGTTCATGACTTTTTTTTCCATGGATTCCATGGTCGCAACGCAACTCTCTCACTTCGTATCTGCCTTCGCACCTGCCTTTAGTATCAGCCTTCTGTGCTTCAGCCCAGCGACGCGCTTCGATGGAAGGCTCCAATGAACCGCGGAGTTGGAGACCACCGCTTCGAGCAGCATGAAAAGGCTCGCCAGTAGATTGGACCAAAGGATCAAGGCACGTGCCAATTGTTGATCCCAGAACTCCTCATTCACCACCCTCTTACCTGGACTGGGCATGTCAACATTACTTTGTTGGGAACGAAATGGAACCAAGGAATCGGATCAGCATCGTTCAGAAAGGCTGCCTGGGACAGCCTGTCAAACGGTGTTCAACACATTGACAAACGAATTCTTCCAAACGGAACAACGATCCGAGACGAATTCTTCCAAACGCAACCACCATCCTACGTCCCACGCGGCCCTTATACGATATAAACCACGCGGAGAGGTCCACGATGGTCCACGGATCACATCGGTACCCGCTCAGAACCCGGTTGGAACTCCGTACCCTGGGTGCGTCCCAACGGACCATGCTCCGCCAAAACGAATGGTCGACAATGCTCCGGTAGTCCATGACTCTTGGGGGACATTGGTGCCAAAAAACCACGAGTGGGATGCAGGATCCCAACGATTTGGAGTACCATTCTTCAATTATGGTCGGCTCCTTTCTTAAAGGGGGAGTCGGGGGGGGGATGTGGAGGAAAGGTTGGGAGTTCGTTTATGCAACAATATAAACGTTTGCTCTCGGGCAAAGGGTTTTGCATCAGACGCGGCCACATGGCCACCTCTTTCAGTTAACTTGTCAGTTGGTCCACCTTGCAAGTTAGATCGTTGTGTGACTTCCAATGAATGATTGGAGCTTCTCTGCCTGACAGATTCAGATTTAGGCCTCTATGCGATTGCCACAGGATTTTTCCGGGGAGACAGCTTTCATCCAAGAAATCAAGATCGATGAGCCCATCGAGCGAGCTTGCTTTGTGGGTGGCTGGAGGATGCACAAAATAACGCATGCATGACTCCCACACCACCCGTAGAGTCAGTCCACGAAAAGCAGCTTTTGCAGTCGCTGGGTTTTGGACATTTTGGTGATGCGCTGCAGGATGGACTGTCAGGAGAGCGTCCGAGGATTGGGAAGTCCGTAAAGTTTCAGGAAGCATCACATCATATCATATCACTGTTGTTTGGTACTCATATATATCCGCTCATATCATATTCGATTCCAGGGTGTGTGTGGCTGAAAGTGATAAAACCTGAGGGAGGCGCCCAGTTCTGCTTTTCAAGCAGATGGTCCCATTTAGGGTGACGGTCACACTATTCTCAATACATCACGTTGTCCGGTGGGGCCTCAGCTTATCCCATCTCTCCGATCCATTCCCGCGCGACAGCATTCACTGTCACTGTCACTTGCGACACACGTTTGCCGATCACTTGCGTCTATGACGCCTACCTTTTTGCCGATCACTGGCGACACAAACGGGGTGGGGTGTGCTGGGGTGTGCTAACGTTCGAAACTACTTGCAGACCTGCACCTGCACGCGATCATGGTCTTCATCACAATCATGGGTGGGGTGGGGTTCGAAAACACTTGCAAACCTGCCACCCGAACATGATCTTCATCACCATCATCATGGGTGGGGTGTGCAATCGTTCGAAAAGGTGGTGTCTGAAGAACCTAAACTGTTGTTCACATGTGCTTTTGCTAAGATTCCCAGACCATGTTTTTGGCCCATGCGGGCACACCACTAGTGAATTCATTGGCCTCTATCGTGTGTCTTGTCCAAACAAACGCATCCTCATGAAAAAGAACTGCGGTGAAAAAAAACACTTGAACCCAAGCAAGCGCGACGAGACAATGAAAAGAATAATCCCCTCTCCCTAATAATAAACGGCCCCCCCCCACCTATTAATAAAAACCCTGGGGTGTTTTTACTAATAGGGGGTGTTTATTATTGAGGGGCACCTGTTGTACCCCCAAATGGGCAATGTTCTGTTCGCCCTAATAAAAAGTAGGGTCTCGAAAGAAAATCCCTGGGTTCCCAATCTAATTAATTATATAAAATCCTTGTTAAAACGACCATCAAAAAAACAACAAAGGGTCAAATCGAAGGTCTTCCCCCTCTTGTTGGTTTCCTAGACCAACTGTTGATGCACCCAATGAATGAAAACACATCGCTGCAAAGAGCAATGGATAGCGCAATCAGGAAAGCAAAATTAATTAGGAACATTGGCACAGACTCCTGCTTAGTATTAGGGGGCCACAAAACAGCAAGAATGGATCTTGGAAAGGAGGCAACATGGAAAAGGCATGGGTTCCAAATCTATATAAAATCCTTTATAAAACGACCATCAAAAAAGCTAAAAAGGGTCAAATCGAAGGTCTTCCCCCTCTTGTTGGTTTCCTAGACCAACTGTTGATGCACCCAATGAATGAAAACACATCGCTGCAAAGAGCAATGGATAGCGCAATCAGGAAAGCAAAATTAATTAGGAGCATTGGCACAGACTCCTGCTTAGTATTAGGGGGCCACAAAACAGCAAGAATGGATCTTGGAAAGGAGACAACATGGAAAAGGCATGGGTTCCAAACTATATTAAATCCTTGTTAAAACCACCATCAAAAAAGCCAAAAAGGGTCAAATCTAAGGTCTTCCCCCTCCGGTAGTTTTTCGGAAAGGGTCAACCTAATAAGGCACAGTGCTTCTTTTTTGTTCGGACCGACAGTGAGCGAGCGCTGGAGAGAGAGAGAGGGAGAGAGAGAGAGAGAGGGAGGGACAGGGAGGGACAGAGAGGGACAGAGAGGGACAGAGAGGGACAGAGAGGGACA